GGGTCCCAAGGCCAAGGCCAGCCTGGGGAACTTAGGAAGACTCTGTCTCAAAATTAAATATAAAATCGCCTGGAAATATAGCTTAATGATAGAGTTTGCCTGGGTTTAATCTTTAGTACTGCAAAAGAAAAAAAAGGAGGAGAAGGAGAAGGAGGATGAGGAAGAGGAGGAGGAGGAGGAGAAGGAGGAGGAGGAGGAAGAAGGAAGGAAGGAAGGAAGGAAGGAAGGAAGGAAGGAAGGAGAAAAATCCCACAAGAAACACATGCAAATAGTGTTTAAATGTTAACATTTTATATATGGCCATTCAGCTGTTCCATCCCTCACTCAGAAATGACTGTGTGTGTGTGTGTGTGTGTGTGTGTGTGTGTGTGTGTGTCTGTGTGTGTAAAACTGCTTTCTTGGCTGCTAAAACATAACAACTTTTGATGGCTTGTCTTTGTTGACTAATTCCCTTCTCAAATTTTACTCTTCTTCCATCATCTGATGATTTTTTTTTTTTAATGGGGTTTTCATTTAGATTTGCACTGAATTTCTTTTTTCCTTGATGACAGTTTTTCTTCTAAGATAATTTGAAAGTGGCAGGATTATGTTTTTTAATATGGGTTAAGAAACCACTGAAACCTTTGGTTTTAAATATGTTCAATAGGTTGGGAACTGGGGATTTAGCTCAGTGGTCCAGCGCCTGCCTGACAAGTGGGAGGTGCCCGAGTTTGATATGTACTTTAAAAAATAAATTACAGTGTGATATAAAAGTTATCATAAAACAATCAAGTTTGCTTGTTTGATTCCTAGTACTTCTCATAAAACAGGCCGGAAAATGCTATGGTTTTTTTGTTTGTTTGTTTTAAAATTATAAAGCAATGGCTCTTAGACGTCTTGACTTCAAGGGTCCTTTAAAGTTTAAAAATTACTGAATACTTCAGAACTTTCATCTTTGTGGTTTTGCTTGTTGATAATGTATTAATATAAATAATGCATTACGATTATTAAATGCTGCACAAGTTTTATTTAAAAAAAGTTTTTTTTTGGTGGTACTGGGATCAAACTCAGGGCTTTATGCTTGCCAGGCAGGTGCTTATGCCACCTAGCTATCTCCCCGGCCCTAAATTCTGAGCAAGTTTTAAATCAGAAGAATAGACAGTACATATTACATTAGCCATAACAATTATGTTATCCAGTGCCTTCACATGTTATGTAACCTCCAGAAAACTACTGGACTCATGAGCGTGAACAAAGCAAATAATGTTAGAATTATTGTGAAAATAGTGTTAAACTCATGGATCCCCTGGAAGGATTTTGGTGACTCTTAGGATTCTCAGACTACTTTGAGAACTTCATAGGTACTGTATGATAGCTTTTATTCTATTTTATTTTATTTGCAATTCAATGATATTATACTGCTACATTTTGTATATACATGATCACATTCATCACAGAGTATTTGTACCTGTACACAGTATAACGTGTTCTTTTTCCCATCCCCTACCCTCCCTTTAATCCCTTCCTTCCATATTTACAAAAACTTTATGATAACTTTTATATCACACTTTAACTTATTTTTTAAAAGTACATATTGGGGCTGGAGAGATGGCTCAGTGGTCTAAAGCACCTACTTGAAACAAGCTTGGCAAAGCACAGGGACCGCGGTTCGATCCCCAGCACCACATGCCAGCCAGACCCGCCCCCTGGTGGGCTGAGCTGGCCACACACACACACAATAAATAAATGTAATAAATAAAAATAAATAAATATTTAAAAAAAAAAAGAAAAGTTTAACCTTAAAAAAAAAAAGTACATATTGATGTCAATGTTTACAAAACCTTTTTCAAGATATACTCAACATAGTTTTTTTAAAAGTAGCTAATTTTTAGCACTTGTTGAACCATCTCCTGTTCTGACAGACATGTGCCATCCCAGGAAAGGTAGCAAACTTGAACACCAGTAAATACATACCCTATCTTTAAGTTCTGGAAATTGTCTCGGGTCTTGGCTGGATGATAGCTGGAGAATTTTGAGGGGCAAATTTTGTAGTTTCTTGCTGTCTCATGGTGCAATATAGTGATGATTCTGCTTTAAAAGATCTCATTTTCAGGACCTTAGCCACATTGAAGTCATTTTGTACCACAGAACCTGCACACATTAGGAAAAGAACAAGTGAGTGAGTGGTGCCCCCACTCCTTGTACTGTGGAAGCTCATGTGCCTCACTCAGCGAGGAGGCGTGGGGGCCTGGTGCCAGTGCTATTAAAACTTAAGCTGAGGGCTGGGGAGATGGCTCAGTAGAATAAGCGCTTGCCTGGCAAGCTTAAGGGCCTGAGTTCATTCCCCGGTTCTGCAAAACAAAACAAAACAAACAAAAAACTGTGCTGCAGTTATTAAGGTAGTCATATAGACTAATAGGCTAGAGTAGAGAGCTCCAGATAAATCCTTATGCATAGTCAAATATGGTGGCCTGCCCCTTAGCTCAGTTCTTTAAGTGCCTGCTTCAACAAAGCAGTCAGGCTCAGGTTGCTGTGGTTTGATTCCCAGAACTCAAGCCAGCCAAAACTGCCCTGAAGGCATTCTGAGCCAGCCAAAAATAAATAAATAAATAAATAAATAAATAAAAATAAAATAAAACTTAAGCTGTACATGGGTGTTCTGGTGTTTCTTTCAGTAACCTGGTATCACTTTGAGCACCTTTGGGGGTGTTATTCCTGTTGGAGGGCAGATGGTGCAGGCTGCTAAAATGGCATCACTTGGCTCTTGGCACAACCCTTGCCTGTCTGTCTGCATGTTGCCACTGGAGCAAATATAGATCTTTGTGAAATATGGGTCCACCCAGTTTCTCTACTTCATCCCTGATGTGGTTCCCACTGCTAGTGGGAAAAATTTTCAACTCCTTAGCAGGGACGAGACTGCTGCTACCTTACATGGTTGGCACTTCCCAGAGGCAGGTTAGGCCAGGCCTCTCCTCTTTTTTGAAGCTTATGAGACAGTGACTAATCACTACCATTGCCATGTGTGAGCCTCCTGTATCACCACTGGTGAGAACAGATGCTGTGTGTGCCCTACTGTTTTTCTCAGGTGTGTGATCATGGCTTTAGCCTGCACTGATGAGATAGCTTCTAGCAGTCGGACACAGTTAGCCCACAGCGGAGTGCTGCGTAGTGTTTCTCTTATGTTTCTTGCCTTTGTATGTGGTCTGATAATATGCATAGGATAGTTTCAATTCCTTTGCATTTACTTAAGCATGTTCTATGAGCTAGTGTATGGTCTATTTTAGAGAATGTCCCATGTGCAGCTCAGAAGAATGTATTCTGATGTTGTGGGGTGAAACACTCAGTAGATACCTACTAAGTCCATTTGTTCAAATGTTTTGTTTAGCTCTAATATTTCATTGGTGATTTTTCTGTGTATTTGAATTGTCTTTTTGTGACAGTGGTATATAGAGATTCTCCAATATAATTGTATTAGTGCTTATTTGCTTTTTCATGTCTGTTAATATATGTCTTACATAGTTGGGTGCACCGGTTGCATATATCTTTGATCATTGTCTCTTCCTCTTGGATTGTTTCCTTTACAAGGATGTGGTGACCTTCTTTGTCTCTCTTAATCAGTTTTGGGTTGCACTTCACTTTATTTGTAAAGAGAATAGCTGTTCCTACATTTTTCTTTATTTCTCTTGCACAGAGTACCATTTTCTATTCTTTGACTTTAAGTCTGTGAATTTCTTTTTGAATTAAATGTGTTTCTTGTATGTAGCATATTGTTGTGGCTTGCTTCTTGATCCTTTCTGCCAGTCTGTGTCTTTTGATTGGTGAATTGAGAGCATTAATATTCATTGTTGTAACTGATACATATATTGACTTATCCTTGCCATGTTATTTTCTTGTTGACCCCTCCTTTTTTTCCTCTTCCATCTGTTTAAATGTCTGCCTTGCCTGGGGGATTCCTTCTGTTAAGTTTCATGGGGTCCTTGCTATCTCTTTATAGAATGTCCTTCAAAACATTTTGGAGTGCTGCTTTGGTGGTCATAAATTTCCTTGGATGTTTCTTGTCATGTAAGTATCTTATTTCTACATCAGTTTATTATTTATTTATTTATTTTTATTGGATACAGGGTCTCACTACACAGCTCAGACTTGTAGTGATCCTCGTGTCTCAGCCTCCTCAGCACTGGGATGCAGGTGTGTGCCACCACATCCGGTTCTGGGGCCAGCACAACATGCCCAGGGGTTCCAGGACTGGCACAGCATGTGGTACTTGGGTCCTTACACTTGCCAAGCAGAGTGCTTAGACTGCTTAGCTATCTTTCCAGCCCTCTCCATCAGTTTTAAAGGATTATTTTTTTGGGGATACCTCTCTGTCTCTGTCTCTCTTCTCTGTCTCTCTCTGTTTCTATTTTGCAGTACTAGGAATTGAACTCAGGACCTTGCACTTGCCAGGCAGGAAGCACTTATTCCACTGAGCTATTTCCCCGACTTTCTTTTCTTTATTTAGTTAATTTCCAGGGTGATGCTTGTGAATTTCCTATGGTGGGTTGCTTTATTGCTGCTATTTAGAACCCACAGGAATGACTTCTTCTGCGAGGTATCTTCCAGGTGTAACTTTTTTTTTTTGAGTGTGTTGCAAGATCCCTCTTCAGTTTGTTGGGGATGAGAAGTTGCTGCCTGTTTAGCCCAACCCCTAGTGGGCCCAAGAGACAGCTCAGCAGCGTAAGCACCTGCCTGTCAACCCTTAGTAGTAGTAGTAGTAGTAGTAGTAGTAGTAGTAGTAGTAGTAGCAGTAGTAGTAGTTCTTCGTTGACGAAGTAGTCTTCGTCTTCTTCTTCTTCTTCTTTATGTATTTAGTACAGGGTCTACAGGGTCTCACTGCTCAGATCAGAGTTGCAGTGTTCCACATGTTTTCAGCCTCCCACGCACTGGGATTACATGCGCCAGCCACCATGCCCAGGCTCAATCGCTATCTCAGTGCACCCCAGGGGCGGGGCCAGCATGGCCTGTGGTGCCAGAGATTGAACCCTGGTCCCTACGCTCTGCCTAAGCAGGCTTTTTAGTCAGCTGAGCTATGTGGCTGGTCCTGGTAGTTCAATATAGCATTGTGCCAAAGTATTTCCTATGGCCCATAGTGAATCTCAATTTTCAAATACTAAGAAAAATAGCTGTTTAGAACAATTATGTCACCTTTGACTAAAGTGTTACCATCAACAATGACAGTAGCATTAAACACGGTCTAGAAAATGACAAACTGAGGTAATCATTAATTTGCCACCTTTAACAGTATGAGCTAGATTAATAGTTATGTAACAAAATCTAAAACAGGCCAGAAAATTGTATGCAGTATGTAAGTCCTTAGTATGTCACTTTTACCCATGAGTTAAAACTTAAAGGGGTTAGGGAAAAAAAATAGAGAGATAGAAGTAGAGGAAGAGATTAAAAATAAGGCCGGAGAACAAAAGGGGATCACAGTAACTTTGGGAAACTCGTGCAGAAGACTGGAAGGAAAGAAAAGGGAAAGATAAAACCACGTTAATGTTTATATGAAAACAAGATGAGACAATGAAAAACATAAAACAAAACTACCACCACCACAACAAAAAATGTGAGACACACACACAGAGAAAGAGAGAAACCGAGACCTTTTCCAGGTGTGTTTCTTCTGTCACTGGCAGACAGTATGTGGAGACAGTCCTGATCCATGTTGATATGTCCCAGCAAGCCAGCAGTAGCTTTTGGCAGCGTAGTGGATAATGTCAGGTAGGCTGTGCCTTTTGGCCAAGACCAGACTCATTCAGCCTGCAACCATCAGCACACCTCCTGTGGGCCGGAGCCCAGATGGGAGCCACTAGAGGGTACCAGTAGCTGTTCTGAGCTCAGCTAGCCCCTCTCTAAGATAGCTCCTGGCCAAGCCCTCAGCAGTCACTACCAGCTAGTGTAGACAGCACATCTGCTGCGCTCCTCCACTGCTGCGTCTCCTGGAGGCCTCTGGGGTTGCCAGCAGTCACTATGTGTCTGCAGGTTTTAGTCTGTCTACAGTGAGCCTCATCTCAGGGAGAAGATGCCACCGGCTACCTCCTTCCTCTTCATTGATGTTCCTCCTTTCACTCTTTCTGTGGGCTTCAGTTCATTCTTCAGATCCTTCATGTGTCCAGGGGACCCTGTTCCCTCCCTTTTATCTTTCTCCCGTTGGAATATGCCAGCATTTGGGTGGCAGCACTCAGAGAGGCTCCTTCTCTACTCTGCTGCTTACCATTCTGACATCTTGGTGCCTCTGTGTTTGTTTCCTTGCTTTAAAAAAAAAAAAAAAAAAAAAGATATGGGCAGATTAAATAATATGGAAGTTCTAATTAGCCTAAGATTTAAAGTCTCAGAAAAAATAGCAATAAGAGGGAACATTCAGCTCAACTTTCTAATGATACATTATTTTGCTCATTCATGCACAGTATTATGAAGACACCCATCATTTAATCTTTATATACCATATTGCTTTAGTTTTTTTTTTTTTTTTTTGAAAGAAATGGTATCCGCCCCCCACCAAAAAAAAAAAAAAAAAAAAAAAAAAAAGAAAAAAAGAAAGGGGACATTATCCATAAAGGCTTCCCATGTGTCCCACTCCTCTGCCCCCCCCCCCATGTTCTCTCTCTTTCACTGGAGAAAATCACTAGTTTTGACTTGAAGGTCTTTTATTACCATGTATATTTTTATACTTTTGCTACATGTTCTGTGTCCATATACAATATAGCACAGAGGACTTGTAACCAGGCCTACCAATTTTATTGCACACAGCAATGCTCATTCATTTATATATTGTAGGTTCCGACTTTGAAGCTATAGTTTGGTTTCCATTTTTCTGGGCATAGTGCCAATTTCTCAGTCACTTTCCACAGGAATCCCCACTCCTTTATTTCAGTTGGCCCTAGCAGAGGAATACCATCTTTTCAAGCACTGCTGTTGAGTTTTCTCAAGACCAGTTATATTCAATTTTTGTTTTGTTTCTGTGCTACTGGGGATTGAATCCAGGCTTTTGCACTGAGTATACCCTAGCCCTTTATATTTTATTTATTTATTTTTATTCTTTTATTTTTTTTAACGTATTTTGTGCAGGGTCTCACTATGCAGCTCGGACATGTAGTGATCCTCTTGTTTTCAAGCCTCCCAGTGCTGGGATC